TGGTGTTTGTTCTGTTAATGGACAACTGTGCGCCATGATGTGAATCCCTTCTGTTAAATTAAATTGGCTGTGTTTCCCACCATGACCAGCTTGTCGCTACTGATGCATTGTTCCTTGCCGTGAAGACCCTGCTGTGTGATGTGGCAAGACATCTTCTGGAGAGAAAGTGAGACACACATGAGGTGTGTGCAAAGAATTGTTTTGGGGAGGCTGTCAGACACAAACAGTTGCCATTGGCAGCATCCACACTAAACCATGGTTTAGTGTTTGGAGGGCAAGCCATAGTGAGCCTCAGGTTCACACACTTTCCCCTCCACTCCCTTCTGATGTGGCCACAAGGAATATTAACTGTAGTTTTAGCATTATGTGCAAACAGAGTCATTGGAAATGTGCTTCTGTACACCTAGCTACTAACAGCAGACAGCATTTATTTCAGTAAGCCATGAATTCTTCCAACACCCAAAAGGCATCCTCTTGATGTGTCAAAACTAACTATATGGGGAAGCCTTTCGTAGCTTTCCTGAATCTCTTGATTTTGTAAAATGACCATATAAGGCATTTCTCCACCTCTCTTTCTATTTAGCTCAAAGGCGTTTAATTAATAAATAAACAAACAAACAAATAAACAAATGTTACTTTTTGTGTTTTTTAATAGTGTGTTTAGTTTTGATAATATGAACCCTGCTGGACGTAAGCTGCTGCTTGTACAGGTCTCCCTGGATTGCTTCCACTGGGCATAATCAAAGCAGAGTTAAGTCCCATTGAATCAATGGGTCTTAAGTGCTTAATTGTGCATTCAAGCCCCATTGATTTCAATGGGATTTAAATACTCAGAGCTTTCTCTGGATTGCACCCAAGAGAATTTGCACATCTCACCCAGAATGCATAATTTTGATTGCATTTTTTTTTCTTTAAAGGAGCCTACTAGTTCTTAATGCCACTGGGGTGATTTTGGTAATTAGCTGACAGGGGCACTGATGTTCGGTGGCTAATTATCACTAATTTAATTGGCTTTCAGCATACCAGTAGCTGTACCTGTTAAGAAGGGAAACGGCAAAGTCTTTCAGAAAATTGGCTCATTATTAATCCAATTCATTCCCCTCCCCCTGTCCCCATGCCACAATTGGACTAGATGAGAAAAGAGATGTAGGTCTGTTTGCAGACTGCGCAAAAAAAGCTGAAATGAGCAATTAGAACCACACACATGTGGACAGATGGCTTATTCACTTTTGATTAAACATATGAGCAGGGTTGATAGATACAATGTGTGTTTTGTTCCTCAAATCTATCTTTTAAAATATATGTGGAGAACAGCTTCAGAATGATGGCAAAGGAGGCCCCTGTGAACGAACATGACCCTAAATGTTTCATCCTTCAAGTTATGATTACTGTAATTTGCTGTATGTGGGACTGCCTTCGAATACAGTAGTTCAGATGTGACAGCTAGTTTACTAACTGCCTGAGACCAGGTGTTATGGTCATATTACCCAAGCACTAGGCCAGTTTGTCTATTTCCTGGAAATTCAAAGTGCTGGTTTTAATCTTCATCATGACACAGGATACCTGCTCCTACAACAAGATCCTCACTAGAGGATCTTTTGAGGGTGCTCTCTTCCTGGTCTGAGGTGAGATGGGAGGCTGCCAGGTAGATGGCCTCCTCAGGGGGGCACTGAAATCATGAAATGCTCTTCCAAGAGAGATCCTCCTAGTGTCTTCTTGCTTATAATTTCACTGCCACCCAAAACGTTTCCATTTTCCTCACGTTTTTGATTATAATTTTTAGTTCCACTAATCGTTTTACCTGCCTTTTAGGTCTTGTGCCTGCTGTGACGTGCAATATTTGTGCTTTAATTATTCTTGCACTTTATTTTTTGTAGCCTGCCCTTGGGAGGTTTATTATTTTTACTAGGTATAAAAAAATATTTAGAATAAATAATCATTCACTTCTCATTGATACCTATTTAATTTACTTCGGTGCAACTGCGCTTGGGATCACAGTCATCCCCCTTGTTTATGGTCTGCTATGGAAATGCTGATTGCTGCCTAGACATGATTCACTCTTATTGGGGATTAAAGCCTACCATGTAAGGGAAAGGTCTCTGTACCATCAAGACTGATGAAAGTGGTGCATTCCGTCTGTACGATGACAGATAAGGTGCTCAGGATCAAGTGACCCTAATCATGTGGTCAGTGACAGGACCTGATTTAATCCCTTTGTGAGGTAAGTGTGAAACATGCACCTGATATTATAGAGAGAGACAGGCGCTCAAGCACAGTAGCTCTCTTCAAATGATGGATTGACTTCTGTGTGGAGATAAATCGGTGCCCTCATGAAGATGAAGAAAGAAATGTGGTAGGAAGTCGAAAGACCTAAAAGTCTCTCTTAACCCACATTCTTTGGGAAATGGAATCAATCTTTTGAAAGTTTGCTACACGATACCTAGTATAATATAAATCCCACAAAGATTTTGACCACGGAATTTAGCGAATCCAGGCTTTTACCACACCACAATTTTTGTTCAAGGGAATGCTCTCACGATTCGCTCTTGCAATTAAAATCATGATGTGGGAAACTTTTATTACTAGGGTTACAAGCTTTAATCCATTTAATCAGTGCAATTAAAGCTTTAAAAGGCAGGTTTTAAACTCCCCCCTCCCCCCAAAAACCCCCTGATGTATGGAATTCATAAGAAGCAGAGACTCTGGGACTTGCCACTGTGTAGCTGCATCAGAATCAGTGCAGTTAGAAAAGAAACTCACAGCACAATCCTATGCATATCTACCCAGAAACAGAATTAGAGTCTGGAAAAGGACCTTAAAGGCCAACACCCTACCAGTGCTAAAAAATTCACTAGTACAGCACCCCTGCTAAGTAGCTATGCAGCCTCTGCATAAAAGGAGAATTCTCTGCCTTCCAAGGCAGTGTGTTCCACTGTCAAAACTACTTGTCCTGTCTGGAGGCTATTCCGAAAGCTATTCCTATTCCAACAACATTTGGATGGCTCCAGGTTGGCTCGGGCTGCTCTGAGGCAACCCAAGAAATCAAAGCTGCCCCTTGACAGTGAAGAAGTGCCAGACCAATATGCCCATTTTGGGAATTTATGGATTCTTTCCTTAGGCAGCACTGAAGAAACCAGCCATTCATAAACCAGCCACATGATAAGCTACAACAAAGCAAAAATAATTTCCCTTCGGTTTGTGATTTAACCCAGCTTGCCTTGCATTCCCCAGTGTTACCCATGTGCTTATCTGGTTTTCTGTTATCAAATGCAGATGGGCCATAACCATTTTTTTGATTATTTAAGTCCTTTGTTGTTCTGTTAAGTGTTCGTTTCTCTCCCAGATCCATCAAAAACATATTAAAAACAAAAACAGAAAGGGGAGGGGTCGAATTTTCCCCATCATTGATTATATTGATTCATTGTACATCAAGCTGATATACAGACATATCATGAAAACACCTAAAATAGTTTTTTAAACAATGCAAAAAAGCCACTGAAAATAGTCTTTGCAAAATTAGGAGATGTTAATGTGACGGACATTCAAATATTTGAAGATTGCTCATATTTCCTCTTAATCATCTTGTTTTCAGGCTAAATGTACCCCCAACTCCTTCGCCTTTTCTCATAGGACTTGGTCTCCAGAATATGTCACCCTCCTCTTGACGTGCTCCAGTTTGTCCTTCTTAATACCCTCTTAAACTTTGGTGCCCAGAACAGTAGTCTTAAGTGATGTCTGACCAAAGCAAAATAGATCTGGACACGGTACTTTTGTAGATACAACCCAGAATTGTGCTAGCCTTTATGACCATCCCAATGAGTTCAGTGGGGTTTCTGTCCCCTTCCCATTACTGTACATTGCCATGGTTTCCTGTTTGCATTCAGTGTTGGTGGAGTCATTAACTTTATTTGTAAAAAAAAATTAAAGGTGGGCTTTCTAAGTAAGAGAGGCAGCATTCATTTAATTATAATTGCACCTACTCTAAAGAAATAGTCCCCTTGAAAATCCTCAAAGCAGCGCTTTCCTTGAGATTTATCAATATGTAAATTTAATTAATAAATTAATCAGTTAAAAGCCTAGCATCTAAACCAATCTTTGGTTGATTGATAGCACTCTTTTATGTTCGTGAATCCAAAATGAATGAGCCAATCTGTTCACGGATTCTTAATATACCTGTACCTGACCTGCAAGTAGATGCTGGTTTTGTCCTGTGAACAGACCTTCTAACATGCAAAGCAGCGCTTGATTCGCTGCTAAATGTTCACAATATGTTCCCATTTATTACGCTCTCCATTGTGCTCTGCCAGTGGGCATAATAAAATGGTTTCGCAAAAGAGCAGTGTCCAAGAAACTGAGGTTGAAAGGTGGGGAATAAATATTTTGAATTAGTAAATTAAAAATGGATAGACACTGCTTTCTTTAGAAACTGCTCTGAACAGTAATTTGGGGGTGTTTTCTGGAGATTGCACCATTGAAATCCATGGGATTTATCTAGCAACCAGAGGGCTCTGGTATGTGGCTAAGGAATTGCAAGGTTGGCAGGCATACCCTAGATTTGTTGAAAGCCCACTGGGCACTTTGATGGGGTACAAGTTCTGCTGTCCCAGAGCCAGCTGTGTCCCAAAAAGGCATAAAAGGCAGCTAACTTCATTTGCCCTCTATAGACAATGGAGAACGAATAAAGAAGATCTGTTGCATATCATTACAGTTGTAGAATATAACGTTTAGCCCCTGAATTGGTAATAAAGGCAAGCGAATGGATAAATGGATTTGCTTTGATACTAAGAAGAAATAGGATCATGGAGTAAATTGGTGCAAATTAAAACACTGCAATTTGCAGAAGCATGTTGCATTTTTACCAGGTTAGCTTCTAGGCCACAAACCTTATATTAGAATCAGTTTGGTTCTCTTGGGGATTTGCCAAGCCATCAGCATTGCCAAGATGAAAGCTTGAGCAGCTGGGGGGATGTTTTCAGTTGCTACTCTGGGCAGCCTGCCTATTGCATGGTTAAGCCCAGCTCTCTCTCTCTCTCTCTCTCTCTCTCTCTCTCTCTCTCTGTGTGTGTGTGAGAGAGAGAGAGAGAGAGAGAGAGAGAGTAGTATGAGTTTGCTTGCCCTATATTTATCATTAAGGAGATGTGATAACACACTGTCCTTTCTAAATCATGCCTTTTGCTTGTTTAACAAGTATGTCCCTTTTTCATATGATTGCACTTGTGGATGCCTCTATATAGGAAACCTTGGGAAAGATGAGGCATCATCACTGTGTCATTCCTATCCTGCTTTTCTATACCACACTCCAAGCAGTGTACAATGAATCAATCAAGAGCAACGTTTAAAAAGCAATATTACAAACAAACACAGTTCACCATGACTTGTCTCAGTATCCTTTCCATTTGATTATTGCTACAGTTTTTCATGCACGGTGCACATGTAGTTTGCAAAGTACTTTACGGTGTGGACTTCCAACCTTGTAACAATCCTGTGAGGAAAGTTGCAATGGTTTCCATTTTACAAAGGGAGAACTGAGGCTGAGAACTTCTTGCCAACATGAGCAGAAGCCACACAGTGAGTGCTTGGCAAAGCTGAAGACTTGACTCTTTGGCTCTTTCCAATCTGTGAGCTCACATGTGTGCATATTCATCAAGCCATGGCATCAAGTCAGACTTCCATGTGTGCAACATTCCCATTGAGATCAAAGAGCACAGTACAGTGCTTTCATATTAGATCAAGCACACTTTATTTCCTAGTGGAGGCAGCTGGCACATGCATCTGAGAGTCCGAGAGGAAATTCAGGCAGTTCTGAGAGCTGTATGCCTGTCTGAATTGTCCCTAAAACATTTTATCCACAGGCCCAGGGAAGGACCATAGCTCAGTGATAGAGCATCTCCCTTGCATGTAGAAGGTCTCAAGTTCATTCTCCAGAATATGTAGGGAGGGCTGGCAAATACCTTTGCCAGAAACCCCGGAATTCTGCTGCATGTCAGTGCAGACAATAAATAGCTAGATGGACCAGCCTCTTTAAGGCAGTTTCTTAAGATCCTATGAATGGTTCTCACTGAGACTTGAAGCTGTTGGAAATAGATAAGTATGATGCCAGATGGGTGAAGCTCTTCGTTGCCTTTTTAAAGTGGCTTCTCCTGTTTTCAGGCAAGAAGACATTCCCCTGCTCCCCAGTTTCTGAACCCAGAAAGGTCCCCATCGCTTTCAGTGAGAAATGTATTGTTATCTTCTAAAATTAGACACACTGACTGGGTTGGGATGGAAGAGTAGAAAGCATAGCAAAAACAACCTGAGGGAACAATGATCTGATTGGCTTTGAGTGGTGGAAAGGATGTGGAATAAGAGCAGTGCGGGGAAAAACATTTTAAATTATATTAGAATGGCACCAGCAAATAATTGGAAAAATACTGAAACTCTCCAAAGTGAGTTCCCAGGCACACAGCTGTTAGTAAAAATAAATAAATACACAAATAGGAACTACATAAATAGCATCCACCAGAGGAAAACTCAATCTGAAAGTTTAATAGACATTCACTGTGGCTTGGAAACTAGTAGAAGTGAACATGCATTGATTTAACATAGGCAGGCCTAATGCGAGGTGGGCCTCCTTGAGCTGTGGCTTTGAAAGGCATGGGGCTTGCCTTTTGTCACTTGTCTGTGTCATTGTACCTGGGCCAGACATGAGAGCTCTGCCTTGACCCTTTCCAGACAAAGTCATACAAGCAAGTGAGCTGTGATGCCCTGTGAACACAGCCACTGTGATGATGTCCAAAATGGCGGAGGTGTGAGAGTGAATGTCACAGCCAGTGTGTGTGTCTGTGTTGTTCTTCTCTTGCTCCCACAAGAGGCAGTGATGGCCACCAACTAGGAAAGCTTTAAATTCATGGAGACTGTCAATGGCCACAAGCCACAATGGCTATTCTCTGCCTCCATGGTCAGAGGCAGTAATGTTTCTCTGAATACCATCTGCTGGAAACCGCAGGAGGGGAGAGTGCTTTAGTGCATGGATTCTGCTTGAGCATTTCACACTGGGCAGTTACTGTGAGAACAGAATACTGGCCTAGATGGGAAATAGGGGTAAAGGGTAAAGGGACCCCTGACCGTTAGGTCCAGTCATGGCCGACTCTGGGGTTGCGGCGCTCATCTCGCTTTACTGGCCGAGGGAGCCAGCGTATAGCTTCCGGGTCATGTGGCCAGCATGACTAAGCTGCTTCTGGCGAACCAGAGCAGTGCACGGAAACACCATTTACCTTCCCGCCAGAGTGGTACCTATTTATCTACTTGTACTTTGACGTGCTTTTGAACTGCTAGGTTGGCAGGAGCAGGGACTGAGCAACGGGAGCTCACCCTATCGCGGGGATTCGAACGCCAACCTTCTGATTGGCAAGCCCTAGGCTTTGTGGTTTAGACCACAGTGCCACCCACATCCCATAGATGGGACATAGGCCTGATCAAACAGGCTTGTCTTATGAGACAATAATGTACTTCTTTCTCATGCAGTTAAAGAGGTTGTTAACGTCACACTTACGTGCCTCAAAGAATGAAACTGGGCAACTCGTAATGCAAATTAGCATTACTGCCCATTTCTCCAACTCCCATTATCTCTGACCATTAGCCAAGCTGGCTGGGGCTGATGGGATTTAGAGACCAGCAATCTCTGGAGGGCCACCGGCTCCCCATCCCTGTGAAAATGTTGGCAGGGTTGTTGTTGGACCCTAGTTAAGTCACCCACTAAAACCACCTCCTTTAAAAAGTGGTGCTGTTTGCAGCAATGAAGCATATATTTATCCACGTTGGTGCAGAGAACTAGAGAAGTTAGCAGGCTTCCACATTTTTATGCCTCATCCGTGGAATAAATGAAAAGAAAGGGTTAACATTTTCATAAGCAAGCATATCCTTTTAAAAGTGTTGATGGCCAGCTGGAGCATGGAGACGAACAATGATTCACCCCAGTGCAGCTGACTCGTTATGTTTCTGTCTAATGTTTGGTCTCAAAAATTCCATCTGTTCTTCTTATAAGAAGGCCATGACCAGAGAAGGGGCTCAGAGCTCTGGGAGGATTCTCTCTTGTTTTTCGCTCTGGTATCTGTAGAGGAGCAATTTCCCCCGGGGCAGCAGGGAGGAGGGATCAAAATCGAAAGGTATTTGCAATCCCAGGCAAGGATGGACTGCAGGGCATAGTGGACAGAGAACAAAGTAGGTTCACAGATTGGTCTGCAAACCATAGTCAGGTGATCTAAAGAGAAGGTGAGGAGTAATTAAAATACCTGTACTTGATTGATCATACACACACACCAGAAATCAAGGCCATTTTGACAAGAACTAGATTTATTGAACAGGCTGGCAAGGCCTTGTCCTAGGACCTGTGATGCCAGTGCTGAGGGGTGGGTAGGAAGTTGACTAAGTGGTCCACTGAGACCCCAGGCAGTTTTCAAGTGGGCCATAGAAGTTTGAAAACTATTACAGCAGAGCTTTCAGTGGAAGTCCAGAATTGGCACCTTGATCGGCTAACTGGCAGCCAGTGACAAGAACCCTGTTGCGAGTTTTTCTAGGACAGAGATGGGGAACCTGTGGATGTGGTTGGACAGCTCCCCTCATCCCTGACCACCAGCAGTGCTGGCTTGGAATGATGGAATTTGGAGTCTGATAACATTTGGAGGGCCACAAGTTTCCTATCTTTGCTCTAGGAATTTGGGCCCACTGAGAGCCAAAGTGTATTGCAGGAAGCAGTGTATCACAGGTCCTCCCTCCTTTGTAGAGTTCTCCTTTTTAATTAAAGCAGGTGCACTTTGCTCCTGAGGGACGCAGGTGGCGCTGTGGTTTAAACCACAGAGCCTAAGACTTTCCGATCAGAAGGTCAGCTGTTCGAATCCCCGTGACGGGGTGAGCTCCCGTTGCTCGGTCCCTGCTCCTGCCAACCTAGCAGTTTGAAAGCATGTCAAAGTGCAAGTAGATAAATAGGTACCGCTCCGGCGGGAAGGTAAACGGCGTTTCCGTGCACTGCTCTGGTTCGCCAGAAGCGGCTTAGTCATGCTGGCCACATGACCTGGAAGCTGTACGCCGGCTCCCTCGGCCAATAAAGCAAGATGAGCGCCACAACCCCAGAGATGGCCACGACTGGACCTAATGGTCAGGGGTCCCTTTACCTTTACCTTTACTTTGTTCCTGAAGTTTGGGCGGGACCGTGATGTCTCCTGCTGCCCCCGGATTCCTCTGTGTCTGAGAAAGTTGGTGAGAAACCCTGGGATGGAAATATCATGGTCCTTTTGGGTGGTTCTTCCACATCTGTGGAAATCTGTGGTATAGGAGAGGTTGCCTTGGTGGCTGCTTTTCAAGATTGTCCAGGGGAAAGGGCTAGTAGTGTTAATGGCTACCAGCCGTGATGGCTATGTTCTACCTCCACTGTCAGAAATAGTAACCAATAGTACTCAGTTCTGTGTACTAGTTGCTGAGAATCAAAAGTGAGGAGAGCCCTGTCGTGCTCAGCTCCTAGTTGCAGGTTTCCAATAGACATAGGATGCTGGACTAGATGGGCATTTGGCCTGATACTGAACTTATATTCTTATGTTCACCATCCTCAGAGTCACAGGACTCCCTTGTGGTGGTTAGCTTTTGCCAGCCATGGTAGAGCTTGAATGCAGGTGGTTCATTCATGAATTGGCAAAGAGTAACTCATTCACTTTCTCTTTTCATTTACCTTTTCTTATACAAGGCTGATCAGATTACTCAAGAGGTGTAACACTGAAGAAACTATAAAGTTCTTCTGCCCGTTTTTGCAATAAAGACATGACATTAGTATTTTTGAGACACCAATCACTGTTTATAATCCCAACCGCCTGGACTGATGTACTGGGTGAGGATTACAAAATGATGAATGTCTTTTCAATGCCCAGAGCATCAAGACAGCAGCAAATACTGCCGCTTGAGTGCCTTTCCATGTAATAAGTGGGCAATACCTGCAACACCTACAATAGAGGACTTTTATTCCTTGGAAAATGTGAACCCCAAAACAGCAGCAGTACTTCAAGGGAATGCATGTAGAGTTTGTGCTAGACACTGAAAACTACCTGCATGGTCATAAAGAAGAAGATGCTTAAGTAAACCAGTTATTT